AGGATGATGTCGTGCCATATTCTGTGAGTGATGAGAGAGTTAATGCACGAAGGGTGATGCCGTGCCGTTTCTATTGTTTCTTATGGTGAGGATGAGAGTAAAAGCACGAAGGGTGATGCCGTGCACTTGTTTCTGTCACACTTCCTTTTTATACACCTACCCCGAAGGATAATGTATAGGGGAGTTTTTCCATTTAAAGTGACATTATTCGAAATGAAATTATTTATTTATTTTTAGAGTCGCCACTTGGGAAAGGATTGGCTTTTGGTGTCCCAAGTCACCGGTTTAACTTAAATCCCAAATCGAGGAAAATTGTCGACTTCCCAATTAGAGTCTGCGAACCAGAAATTCTGAATAAGGAATTCTGTTGACCCGAGGGAAGGTGTTAGGCACCCCCGGATCCCGTGGTTCTAGCATGGTCGCTTAAATTATTATAAATGGCTAAAATCTGATTTTTATACATGTTCAAACCTATAGTGTAATTTTAGAATCATGTTACCGCTTTTAGTTAAAAAATTTTAAAGAAAGTGAACGTCGTTTAAAAATGTGTTGTTGGATCACGTCACGTGAAATGCACCCGTGTCCTCGACACATTCTTATTCGACGTTTTGGGATTTGGATTTGGGTTGCATGAAATGCACACCCGTATTTAAGAAGGTAAAATTATTAAAGGCGCGCCTAAAGCGACTAACGAGTTATTATCTTTGCGGAGGGCCGTGAAATTCGCTAAACGGCACGCCCCGAATTCTAAGTATTTTAATAGGAACATTTAAAGAGGGCCCCGCAAGTTATGTGTTTTGTTTGGCGATGCTCATCTCATTTTTATTTAAAGGCCAACCTAAAGCAACTACGATTTTTCTATTTATTTTTTGTCTCTAAAAGGGCCTAATTAATTTACATTTATAAATTTGGGCCTCGAGTTCAGGTCCGAATTCAAACAAAAGGAGGGACCCTCTTAATTTGAACCCGCTACCTAACTCGAAAACCTAAATTCATATTGCAAATTAATTCCCATATCCCTAGTATAATTTTTAAAGGGGGTTTTAACTTCTAACAATTTTGGGCCTTCAAACTTGGCCCTATACAGGTTTAATGCATGAACATTGCCCAGACGTGGACCTGATACCACGAAAATTGGGCCATGTCATTGTAGGCCCAATTCCATTTGGACTAAGGAGTAACGGTTGAACAATTCCCAGCAACTCTCAAGTCCTCAATTAACATAGGAAGATTTAAGTATCCTGAAATTTTATGTTTTAGCATACAAACTAGCTACTTGACTGTATTAAAGGACAAAGTGACTACACATTATTCACATTCAGGAGCATACTGATTTTAATTGCGATCATTCAATTCCGGTTTATCTCTATAATTCTAAACTTGGATAGTTAAAACTGAAGCAACTATTTAGATATTTCCCAGATCATCAATTGACAAAGCTGTAAATTAAATGCTGAATTCGCTTGTTTTGGAACTATTTTAACACAGGCATGATGTATAACTGATTATGCGAACTACAGAGGCCTATAACTTGATTTCTCCCTATATCAATCCAAAGCTTAATCCTCAAACTAACTTAACAACCAAACTCATAATCCAAATCCCTATCACGTTAAACAGTCCATAGTTCAATTACAAACCAATTTACAGTTCGACTAAGTATTAATAATCGAACAACAGGAGAATAGAATACTCATAAACAGTTTCACATATCATTAGACCAAAATACAACAACGTTCGTATTATTTAAGCCTCCGCACAAGTTGATTACAACTTCAATATATCACTCAAGGCTAGGCATGTACCTGGAATTACAAGGAGATAGAGGGAAAGGATCAGCAGCAGTCAAACGAGCAAGCAACAGCTAGAAATGACTTCCAAATGCCCATGAAACAATAGCAAAACTAGTCTATGGAAGCACAACACCAACACTCAACCAAACAAACTTGAATGACCTAAATCTACTTGAAATTTAGCCCAGGAACACTCAGATGCTTTCAGCAATCAAATATTGAGCTAGAAGGTATAAATCAACAATTAAAAATCGAAAGTAACCTAAGGTTTAAATGTAACAGTATTTTTGGGATTTTTGCAAGTTTTCTGTTGTTTTTGGTTTTTCTGAAGAATTTAAGATCTGGAATCAAGTTTTTTTTTTAGAGTTCTAAAAAAAGTTCAGACTTTTCTGTTTTTGAATTTGAAATTCAAATGTTTAAGGCTAGACTTGCTGAAAATTGCTTTGAGAGGGAAATTTGGAGGCTGGAGGTTTTTTCTTTTGGAATTTTTCAGAGGTGTTCCAAACTTGTTAAAGAAGGCAGGGGGACTGCCTTTTATAGGCAAAAATGAGGGGAAGCTTCCAGATTTTCATTTACCCCTTTTTCCTCTCTTTTATTTTCAGTTTTTACTAATTAGTCCCTAAGTTTTTGGCTTGTTACCCAAGTTACTGCCCTAAGTTATTGATATTTCAATTAAAGTCCTAGTCTAGAAAATCCTAGAAGGTGCTAGCTTCACCTACAACATTAGTCTCTACCTAGGAATGCCTATTCTACCCTTCGACTACTCTGAAATTTACCAATCTAGTCTAACTAAACCCCAACCCCTTTTACTAACCATGGTTAACTAAAAGTCTAGATTATTCATCTATGACCAAAACAGTTTCAGAAACTCTAGGATTGAATTATCAAATGTTACACAAAACTGAAAATTAATCTTAATTCATACTTCGATCACACTATCAATTAAACCAAAGTAATAATCAACCAAGGAATTGACAAGAACCATTCTCTAAAACTAACAAAACCTGAATTCTAAGAACACTGGATTCAAACTGAATTAACTAAGAAGAACAAAAAAAACAAAAATCAAATAATCAAAAAAATAAGAAAATAAAAGAACAAGCATTGGACATGGATTGACTAATAGAAAAATCAATCAAAACAAAAACTGAACTAAAAATCAAAAACGATGCAAGGACAGAATCAACCAATAAAAAAAATACAATCGAATGAGAAGGAAGAACTTACTGATTTGGTCTTCAATGACTGAATTCGAATCGAGTCCCCAAATAATGTTATATGTTTGTTCTTGGTAAGAACAAACACATAAATTTATTTGGGAACTCAAATCGACACTTGATAGTCCTTGAAAAATTCAACCAGTTTTTTATAAAACCCTAGATCTAAAATTCGGAGAGTTTCAGTTGGATTTGGGGAAAATTAGTTTGGGATTTGGGTAGAGGAGGGTTAGGAGAGTGTAGGGCGTGATTTTTGGGAATTTTGGAGGAGTTACGGTTTTGGTCCGAGCTTTCGATTTGATATTCGAAGCGATTGGCTCGGATTTGAAAGGAAATAAGGTTGGATATGGATTGGGGAGATGAAGACGGAGCTATGGTGAAAATTTGGAGTTATTTGGAGTTTCGCCGCCGGCGGAGGCGATTTCCGGATGGCGGCGGACGGCGGAGACACGATGGTCTGATGGTGGGCGCCGGTGGGAGACGGTGAGTACGAGGATGGAGGGTTTGGTCTCTGAATTTGTAAAGTGTGTTATTACACTTTTATTTAAAATGATGGAACAAATCTGGACCGTTGGATTGGGGATGATGGACGGCCTAGATCACTCGAGCCAAAACGACGTCGTTTGTATATAGGGGGGCTGGACCAGGTATTTTATGGGATTGGGCCTGGGTTGAGTCCGGAATTTGGGATATGGGGAGAGGGTGGATTTGTTTGGGCTGCTTGATGTTGGCCCATCATGGCCAGCTCTTTGCCCCTTTTTATTTTAATTTCATTTGTTTGTTTTCTCTTCTTTTCTTTTGTATTTTTTTTTTGTATTTTATTTATTTATTTTTTGTAAGATCAAAAATAAAAGACCCAAATTGACTCTAAAATTATACTAATTAATTTTCAAAATTAACTAATTTCTAATTTAAAATAAAACTTAAGACAAATTTTAGAAATTGAAAGTAGAAATGCTAAGAACCATTTTTGCACACTATTTTGTATTTTTGAAATTATATCAATTAAAATGCATACAAAAATGCAAACAAGACACAAAATCATGCAGTTAATTCCTAAAATTCAAATAATAAAATAAAAATCTTAATTCTAAGGAATTTTATAGGAGTAATTTAAGCGTGGCAAAAATCACGTGTTCACAATTTCGCGAGGTTTATTCCTTTCGTTGGTGCAAAGCATGTTATTTACTACGTTTCTGTACTGTTACTAATTTCAGGATCTGATATTCCCCTCAGCATGTCTTCCCCCTTCCCGTTATAATCTGCTTAGTTTCCAGTTGTTGTTATTTTCTTGTATATGATTTAACTGCACAGGTTCATGTACTGTCTTGTCCTAGCCTCGTCACTACTTCGCCAAGGTTAGGCTCGGCACTTACCAGTATATGGGGTCGGTTGTACTGATACTGCACTCTGCACTTCCCGTGCAGATTTCGGTACTAGACCTTGTTGACCCGAGTTGAGGTGCTGCCTTCAGTCCTACTGGAGACCCAAGGTAGATCTGCCGGCGTTCGCAAACTCTGGAGTTCCCTTCCAGTTATCCCAGTTTACTGTTTTTACTTTAATTCAAAGACAGTTGTATTTCCTTCAGCCAGTATTTGTAGTGACTCTTAGAAGTTCGTGAATTGTGACACCAGTTTCTGGGTTGTCGTGTACAAGTATTTGGGTAATTATAAACTTCTGCACTCTATTTAATTGGTGACGTTTTAAGTTATTGTCATCTAGTGGATTGCTTAACGGGTTAGCGTATTTAATTTCTATATCTTGGCTTGCCTAGCAACTGAAATGTTAGGCGCCATCACGATCCTGATGGTGGAAAATCCGGACCGTGACAATAACTATATGGTGATCTAACTTTGAAATGACATGCAATGTGAATTAGTCGAAATTAAGTTTTAGTCATGTTAGTATGTGTATTTTAAGCCTAACGATCGTAAGAAATCTTGAAGTTTTGTTAAAAAATTATATTCCAATGGATATAGACAGACTTAAATGAAGCAACATGAACAATAAAAATTTATATAGCCGACCGGCCCAACCCAACTTCAAGCTTTCTAAATCAACCACTTGCAGCAAGATTGAAACCACAAAAAAGAATAGGGGGATTTTATTCTTCAACTTCCCCATGATAATAAGAATCTACAAGACCTAAAATTAAAGCCACAGCTAGCTTAAATTTTAGACAGGACCACCTTAGAACAATGAAGAAAAGAATAGAGAGAAGACAGACACATGATACAGAACAAGTGGTAAAATGGGTAAATGAAGGGTGATAATTGGCTCTGTAAATTTATTTGTAAAACAAAATAACCATTTATCACCCACTTATCAACCATTGAATTCATGTAAATTTTGTCATTCATCGGTTGCTCATTTTACCCATTTTAACCATTTTCCACCTTTTGGCTACAACACACTTATCCATCAGCAAAATTCACACTGAAGTTGAGTTGTCCATTTCCTCTTCTGGCTCTTTATTATCCATCACTTTGGTCTGTCTTACTGCTGGCAATATCAATTTCCACACTACATCCAAGAGAGGTGAAGAATATATTAGAGATATACATGAATTGCACATACTTTTTTCGGGTTAATTTCACGGATGGTAATCCAACTTTCGTTTTTGCACCAAAGTTTTAAAACTAATTTTTGTAACGAAAAAAATAACTCAATCATGCATACATATCATCACCTAAAATTTGAAAAAAAAATGCAAGAGTACGCTAAATCCGGTCCTGAAAACACCAGTATGTTGCCACTTCAACCACTCATCGAGTTGGTGCCACGTGGATATTATGTAAAGTAATTTGCTGATTTGGTTATTTTATACATGTGACAGCCTACCTGTGTTTTTGGGACCGGACTTAGCATTTGGCATTTTTTAATTTCTACAATATATAGGCATCATTGAAGGGAGCATTGGCGTAACTGGTAAAGTTATTATCATGTGAAGCCGTGGAAACAGCTTCTTGCAGAAATGCAGGGTAAGGCTGCATACAATAGACCTTTGTGATCCAGTCCTTCCCCGTACCCTGCGCATAGCGGAAGCTTAATGCACTGGGCCCTTCAAAAATGAGAAGAGGATACATTAACTTACAATAGATTGTAGCAGCAAACCACTCATTGACTATTTTCACCCATGTACTAGCCCAGCCAACATCAATACTCCATCTATTAAAACAAGAAAATGAATCAAAGTAATGTTGCTAGCACAAGTTCAATAATATGTGCTGGTAGGAGAATATAAATATACTTACTTTCTAGGCAAGCCATCTAGATTCCAACTGATGAATAACATAGCAAAATACATTGCTCCTAAGGAAAACACTAGATGGAAGAATCCATACTTATATGGAATGTCATCTTCCGATTGAACTTTATCCTTGCGAAACTATAACACAAGCAAAAAAATGTAGTCATGTCTCAGCAAAAATGTAAAAAAAAAAAACACATTTAGATAATTTCTGATTGCGCATTCTGTCCAACTGTTAGGCGCTACGACTCTATTTTCAAGTTTTGAAGGTGCTTCAGTTTTTTTATCTATGTGAGTCAATCAAATTACATTGGCTTTTGCAGCCTAGTCTTGAGTTATATTGAGTTCGACATTGGGTATAATAATAGGACATCTGAAGGGGTATAAGCTCACCTGAAATGTTTGTGAATCAATGCCAGTTGAGAATGTTGCCATGACGATGGCGCATATACCAATCAAGAAACCCTATAATTAACCAGGAAAAGAATAATTATGAGCCAGTCAAACATGTGCAATAAGATATCAAGATAGAGCTGATTAAACACCTTATTTCTGTCCTCAAATGAGAAATGAGAATCTGTTGCAGGTTTGTGCAAACATCAATAGCGTCAAAAAATACATGACTTAATTTTAACTAGGAGGTCTACCAATTATGTAGTGTAGTGGATTCTTCTTTGCCGATAAGTACTGATTCGTTGAGTAGATTATGTCGTCATGAAGATAAAATATATGATTATGCATATCTGCAATTGTTATAATATGTTTACTATGTTTTCAAAGGTTTATATATAGTGTTTCATGGCAATCAAACATTTCTAGTGTCACTTATACTTACTACAATGGATAAGGCTCATTCCTTCCTACATTCTACTAGATATTCTAGTCGGCAACTATATATATCTAGCTTCAGTTCTCATTCAGAAATTTCAGCATTCATGCTAGCCTTTTTCTATCTATTGACTGTTGGTGATAACATTATGCAGGAATATGGAAGGTCTGTGGACGAGATTTAAAGATCCATTTCATGAACAAAACTATAGCAGACTTGAGGAACAAAAACTATGCCTGTCTTCGGTATCCTCTTAAAATTGCCTTATCATTGCTAAGTATCAGTAGCAAGCTACTGAAGTTGATGATATTAACATGCATAAATTTAGATGAAGAAGTTTGATAAGCATGACTAGAAGTAAGTAAAAGAAGAAAAGACGCATACAATTACAGTAGTCCAACCACCATTCCCACTGTTTTGTTGCTGAGGGCTGCATTTTAGAGTGGCAGGCTCACTGTAAACAAAGTGTAATCAAATTAGACTTCATCACATAAGTGACAACCAAAAAGCTACACTATATATTAAGGGGCATGAATTGTAAGTTATCATTTTAAACATGCACTCACTCGCTCGTATTATCAAATATGCTCTAGTTATAGATGATCAATCATCAAACACTAAAGCATATCTCAAAATTGTTCAAAAGAATAAGGAAGTGGGGAACTCGAATACCCCTAGCAAAAGTATTATATTTTGTTCATTGATTTTAAATTAAGAGGTGAACAAGTTAAGCACAATGTTTCTGACCTTCGAATAGCACTCCAACAGAGAAAGACAACATAAGAAGCCATAATCCCTGAAGATAAGAGTCCTCTATTTACCTGTAAAAAAAGGAAAAACAGGTATTAATAACACATGAAGTCATTTTCAATGCAAACTAGTTTGTTATAGAAGCGTACCTTAGAGTGTAAGGATACAGCCATCATTACTACCAGCAAAATTGCAGTCCAGGAGATGAAGAATATGTTCAGACTGCATGATGTTTTGGACGCATAAAGCACATACATCACCAGAATTCCACAAATGGACGCGATGTAACATATTGTCGACATGAATAAGCCAAAAGAGCAGCTGCTACGACAAAAATGATTAAAGAGTAAGGCCTCGAGATGATTAGACATAGTACTTTTTATACTATTTAATGGTTTCACTTGCGAAAACTGATAGAAACAACCATAGATGAGTCAAATGGTCTTAGAAACCAGAATCTCAGAAACACACTGTAGCAATGACATAACAGGAGTTTCAAAAGATGCTTTTTTAATGTTTTTCGTATTAAAGTGTAACAACACCTTTGTTTCTTTCTCTCGTCAGGCATCCAATAGTTATTCCACCATGTAATGAACTCGATCACGCTTATCAGCTGGAGGGCGAGAAAAACCCTGCAAATACATAGCAAAAACCAGTATTGAACTTTAAATTGCTATGGTCATTGCAGGTCCGTAAACAGAATATAAGATTATTATCAATGTTATTTACATATAAGGAAATTTGAAAACTTTGAGCCACTATTTTTGACCCTACTAGTGGTTGTCACCTTCAACTATCTAGTTCAAGCTCTATAGGAAGGAATTTTTTTTTTTGTTGCTCTTTTATTGATAAACCAATTAACGAAATGTGACGTGTGTAAAATGAACTTAAGAAAATTTCAGTCCTACACTTGCTTCATGGACTGCAACTAGCTGTGACTATCTATGTTAGAAGAGAAGTAAAAGGACAGATGTGAATATTACCCTGCACCAACTCGAGCGAATTCACCTGCACGAAAGAGAGGAATTTCCGTTTACATTTTGTATTAAATGAGTGGATAAATATAAACGGGCATTCTATAGAGAAAAATTATTAAGATGAAAGTTGATCTCTTAAAATGGAAAATTTTGCATGAAGCTAAAATGAAATGCTGTGATCAGAAAACTTAAGCAATCGCTTTGAGATTTTCTTATTGCATTTATCCTTACCATATAACTGGATGTAATCTGAGGGGACAAAAAATGGAATCACCATAAAAATTATCAGCGTAATAAACTTCAAAATCCACCATCCAGAATGCCATGTATTGCGAACTTCACACAATTTGCTTGTGAAACATGTTGTAAGAAACATTACTAAAAAGAAAATCTAACAATGTATGTCAAGGATGCAAAAACAAAAGATTCTGTCAAACTAAAAAGTACCGTTAAAGAACAGAAAGAAAGGTTCCAAATGTTCACATATTTATACAGAAAAACATGCTTCATTTCGGAACTTCTTTACCATTAAATCATAGATAAGTATTGAAAGACTTCTGAAAATTGTTTTAGATCAAATTGAAGATATACCAATGCGAGCAATCAGGCCATATTCTGCCTACTGAGGCATAGTATTATGAGTTTAATTAAAGGAGAGAAGTCATTTCATTTTTTAAGCAAAAGGATACAAAGCAACCTAAACTCACACGAAGAACCCCCATCGTATGAGAACATTCACTTCCCTTAATTCCACATGCTTTTGAATCTGCATAAAAAGGGGGAAACAGAAATCAGAGTCCATGTTAGAGTTACCAGAAGAAGTTAAATGGTAATTTAGTTAACAAGATGAGTATAACAAGTATATCATATATTGTGAAAGCAATGAAAACAGTTGTAGAGAAAGCAAAAGTTTAAGCCATATGCAAGAAGGAAATGTGCATAAGGCCTAATTGAAAAAGAAATGAGTTATTGATTGTGTCATAAAAGACCCTTATGGCCATGCCTCGATCGTCCTCCAGAGGCAACATTTGGTCATGGTTTGAGACAAGAATAGAACTCTATATGATCGAATCTCCTAGTGTTCCTCAGTAGCTCAGTGGTAGAGCGGTCGGCTGTTAGCCGAGTAGGTTATTTCATTTTTGTAGCATGCAACATTCTGTAGTAGATATGGAAGCAGAATGTTTTGCCACAAACATTGCTAGCTAATGTACTTGAAGAGGAGCCTTGGCATAACTAGTAAAGTTGTTGCCATGTGACCAGGAGGTTACGGGTTCGACCCATGGAAACAGCCTCTTGCAGAAATGCAGGGTAAGGCTATGTACACCAGATCCTTGTGGTCCGGCCCTTCCCCGGACCCCACGCATAGCGGGAGCTTAGTGCACCAGGCTGCCCTATTACTAGCTAATGCACTTGATCCTACATTTGACGGATCGGAAAGAATGCAATGCCAACAATGTAGAAGAGTAAGAATTTCGACTTACAACGAAGCAGAGGAAGAGCCCTTTCTCCATAATCACGTACGAACCAAGCTATAAGATTTGTTATCAAGAATATAATTCCATAGGAATAACGAGCTCGCAATGAACTCTTGCTTTTAATAGAACATTTCATACTCTTCTGTTGTAATATCCCAGAAATTTCTGTCCATTGATCTACCTCATTGCCATCTATTTTGTCCTCTACCATCTTGCCTCAACCTTCAATTCAGTGGCACTCTTCCTGTTAGAGGTAAAGCCAAAATCTTTGAGTAAGCACTTCTTATACTACACAAAAGTATCACATTGTATTTCTAAAAATTGGATAGCTTGCACAGCATAGAACAACATCATAGTCAAACACTCACAAATTGCTTACATTGCTGGTCTCAAGCCCGGATAAAGGAAGCCAAAGGGTTGTGGCAGGCTGACAGTCAGCGTAAAACTAGCCAATTTATGATAAATATTCACACACAAAAAAAAAATTCTAGGTAAAACCATTAAGTTTTCTCTATCTGACTACCAACTAGTAACTACCAAGGAAAATTAGCTTTTTGGATTTCACACCAAAGACAGAATAAAGCATGTATATATTTTTCTGCTTTGGGGTAAGCAGTAAGCAAGATAATAGAATTGCTTATAATTCAACTTTACCCAAAAATGCACCTGCTTTTGTTCCAATAGAATTGGAGTTTGAAGCAAGCAATGGTTAAACTATTGTAAGCTTGTTTAAACCATAAGTAAGCCTATATATTGGCTAAAATCTCAGTACTGTATATGGAATGAAAAAAGCAACTTAAGAACAAGTAAAAGAGAATTATTAGATTATACGAAACATTTACTACAGACAATATAGCCAGCATTTCAAGAATGTTGTTAGTGAATGAAGTGTCAAAGCATAAAGTAAATACTAACCTTTTCTTCTCTTGAAGCAGGAGCGGGAGGGGTGAGTTGAGACTTTCACACTCTAAATCATGTGAGAGAGGTGAGGCTCTTTATAATTTTATATTAAAAATTGCTACAGACAATGATTATTCTCAATTTTTAATTGTATTAATAATTCACGCATGAATAACAACTACTAACTTTTCACATGCAGAGTACCCTGACGAGAACTATAGGAGCGAATACGTGTTGGAATGATATATATATATATATATTACTAACAATGTTGCAGTGTAAAAAAATTTCATGTCATTTTTACATACCATGTTACTTATCTTCTTTCAATGGGGAAAGCACTTTTAACCATCCGCTTGGTCCTTACCCGTATAATTTTTTTTTCCGCTAAAAAAAAATATGCCATAACTTTTGTGCAACTATAAAATTTTTCATTATAGATAAAATGAGAAGTTTAATTTAAATTATTCACAAAAAATCATTTTTTTAAAACAAATTAAAAAAAATATGGTCACATCAACTGGAATGAGATAAGTACTTTAGCAGTGTGCATAAGTTTATAGACTAAAAAAATTTGGGACAGACCCGCAAGAGTAACGCCTCATAATTCTCGAATATATATAATAGTCAAAGTCATGGTTCACGCCTTCACGAACATTTCTTTAGTAAAGGATGCCATTTCACACGCCTTAGCAAAAATAATTTTATGCTAGTAAATAATACTACTATTCCTTTATTTATATAATTCTAATAATTGCGTCATGAGCTCCTGAGACTCCTATATAGTCCTATTGTCCCTTTATATTGTACCTTCTCACACCCTTGTTATGTGACAAAACAAACACACACACACCCATGCATATATTTTTTTAAGAATGCTTGGTTTCAGAAACAGATGCAAGGTTCTAGCTAGGTTGATAGGTAAAATTGTGATAACCCAAAAGGCCATCTTTCGTATTAGAATCCGTTTTCATGTTCTGAGACCTTGAAAACCTCCTTTTATCTCTCATCGATTTGCGTGCGCAGTCCGGGCGCGATACCAGATAGCTTTTGTGTGAAAAATTTAAGAAATAATGATTTTTTGCTTAAAATATGACTTTAGTTGACTTCGATCAATATTTTGGGTAAACGGACCCGGAACCGTGTTCTGACGGTCCCAGAGGGTCCGTAGGGAAATATGGGACTTGGGCGTATGCCCGAAATTGAATTCCGAGGTCCCTAGCCCGAGAAATGAATTTTTTGAAGAAAATTGGTTGCTGGAAAATATAAGAATTTTTGAAATGGAATAGTGTGTGATCTTGTTGGTATCGGGCCCGTATTTTGATTCCGGATCCCGTACAGGTTTGATATAATACTTAAGTCGTGTCTGTGAATTTTGGTGAAAAACGGAGGTGATTTGATTTAATTCGGACCATTGGTTGAAAAGTTAGAAATTTTGAACTATCTTGAAATTTCATGATTTTTGGTGTTAAATTCGTTGCTTAAGATGTTATTTTGGCGATTTGATCGCACGAGCAAGTCCGTATGATGTTTTTAGACTTGTATGCATGTTTGGTTTAGAGCCCCGAGGGCTCGGATGAGTTTTAGATAGGCTTCGGAGTGTTTTAGACTCGGTAAAAATTGTTGCAGGTTCAGTTCTGTTGCAGAGCCTCTGATCTCGCAATTGCGAGATCAAGCCTCGCATTTGCGACCACTGTTGGGTTCGCATTTGCGACCTACTCATCGCAATTGCGAAGAGTAGCTGTGGAGGCCAGTGTTCGCAATTGCGAACAGCTCTTCGCATTTGCGAAGAAGACAGGGCTAGGGGAGTTTCGCAATAGCGACCAAGGTTCGCATTTGCGAAGGTAGCAGGCCAGGCCAAGCTTCGCATTTGCGAGTTCGCATTTGCGAACATGTGATCGCAAATGCGATACCTGTAATTGTGTAAAACATAACTTAGACAGGATTTTGAACTCATTTCTCAAATTTTCGAACCCTAAACATCCCTAGGCGATTTTTCAAAGACCCAAACTTCTCCAAATCATAGGTAAGTGATTTCTAACTCATTTTCTTCAATCTATTTCATCTTTTTACATGATTTCATCTCAAATCAAGGGTTTTCATGGGAATTGGGTGTTCTTGGGTAGAATTTAAGAATTTCGAATTTGGGGGATTTGGACCTCAATTTGAGGTCGGATTCCGAAACCAATTGTATATTCGGGCTCGAGGGTGAATGGGTAATCGGATTTTGTTCGAACTTAGAGTTTTGACCAAGCGGGCCCGGGGTCGATTTTTGACTTATTGGAAAAAATGTTGGGAATTCGATAATTGTGTATTGGAATTGGTTTTTTAGCGTTTATTGATGTTATTAAGTTAATTATGGCTAGATACGAGTGAATTGGTGGTGGAATCGAGAGGTAAAGCGGTGGTTGAGCTTTGAAATACCTGTTGGCATGAGGTAAGTGTTTGGTCTAACCTTGACTTGAGGGACTAGGGATCCGCGACTTGCTTGCTATGTGAAATATCATGTGTGTGGCGTATAGGTGTGGTGACGAGTACCTATGCGTCACCAAATTACTTGTTTAACCCATTTCCTTTCCCCGTTTCCCTATATCTTGCTTTCCTTCCTTAATTGCTACTTGCTCATAAATGTTTCCACGTCTAATTGCTTCATGTTAGCTGTTGTTCTCTTTATTGAATTATTTAATTGCTTCATGTTAACTGTTGTTCTCTCTACTGAATTATGCAATTGCTTCATGTTAACTATTGATGTTCGCGTTGAAGTATTATTGGTTTCGTAGCTTCATTTTATTACCCTGTTGGCTTATATTGATTTATTGGTGCCTTATGGTGCACCTTGGTTGGTCTCGCTGAGTAGTTATCATTGGTGAAGTTTCATAATCGTAGTGATATTCCATTGTGTAGATTGAGGTATAAGTAATGTGGGGGATTTGAGTTAGCTTGTGAAACTCTTGTCTTTATTCTTTGTGTTTGGTGCTGCTATATATATTGGGATCGGGTTGCACGCCGCAACAGGAGGAATAAGGGTGAAATGTGATTGTCTGGTGGGATCGGGTTGCACGCCGCAACAAGGAGTAATAAGGGTGGACAGGTGGGATCGGGTTGCGCGCCGCAACAGGAGGAATAAGGGTGATATGTGTTTAGGAGTAATAAGGGTGGACAGGTGGGATCGAGTTGCACGCCGCAACAAGGAGGAATAAGGGTGAATATTGATACTGTTGTTGTTTATATGTTGGGATCGGGATGCGCGCCGCATCAGTTATTATTATGTTTCCATTTATGTTGAGGCCCATTACTGTGATGTTGGAACACCCTTAAGGATTGGTTATAGCTGAATACTAGTAGAACATCTGGGTTCCGAGTTTATTTAATGCCAGTTATTGCTTTATTACATAATATATTTCCTTTCTATTTAGTATAAACTGTTGCAGGTTGTATATGTTGTATGCTCCGCCGTAGCCTCGTCACTACTTCGTCGAGGTTAGGCTCGGCACAGTACATGAGGTCGGTTGTACTGATAATGCACTCTGCACTTTCTGTGCAGATTTTGGAGCTAGTGGCTGATCGTGATGTTGGTTGCTATCACTGTTTCCCGGAGACCCAAGCTAGTCCTGCAGGCGTCAGCAGGCCCTGGCGCCCCTTCTATCCTATTTCATTTTTGTTTTATCTATTTCCGAGACAGATGTAAACTTTTCGTTCAGACCATTATTTGTAGTATTCGTAGACTGTTCGTGAGTTGTGACACCAGTTCTGGATAGAATTTATTACGTTTTGTTATTACTATAAGGATAATCTTTTAAACTGTGTTCTTCCGCATTTAATTCCGCTCACTTATTTTAGTAAATTTTTAATTGTTAAAAGATAAAGGAAAAAAGGTGAAATAAGCTGTAACGTTGGCTTGCCTAGCGAATACAATGTTAGGCGCCGTTACGGTCTTGAGGCCCTTTTTTCTTTCTTGAAATTATTAGTCAAAAGCACTTAAAACTGAAGCAACTGCAAAAAAAAGAAGAAGAAACCAAAAGAAAAAGGAAAAAGAGTGAATAGGAAGAAAGAGGCGATTTGGGGTTGTAAATGCAAACACTTTGATTGTTGTTGAAGACTTAGCGCCATGCAAAGACGAACAGAAGATGACAAACTTAGGTTATATATTTAGCTATGACAGCCAGTATTTTTTGTCCTTTTTTCAAGAAATATAGGGTCCATATAATTTACGCGTTTGAGGGGAATTCTATTACCGTTGGACAGAAGGAGCGGTGCTCGAGGCTACTTTAATTTCATATTGCTGTTAATTACACACTAAACAAATCATTAACTTAATGTGTTTAACCATTAAGAAAAAGTGGGGAAGAAGAGCAATTATCCAATGTGAAAAGCTTTTAATTAGAGCTTGCATCCAGTTTCTCTCAATGGATATGTAGCATAAATTCAGATGGAGTAAGTTTATTTTAAGGCTTAATTTGTATTCTATTTTGGACCATCAGATACGGATTCGGCCGAATCCAATATCTTTTGTTTAAATAGTGTATTTGTGTTAAGAAACTCATAAGATATGTACATATATTAAATTTAGAATCGAGTTATTAGCACCTGAAGTCAACGTTCTAAAATCCATAACTCATAAAATTGAAATTCTGACTTGTCTCTAACGGTAACAATTGCACTCGTATTTGTACTAAACCATACCTACCTTATAATAGTGAGTTTAAGAGACTTCAAATTTTCAAATACCCCAAAATAAAAGCTCTCA